TAAAGTCTTACAAATCTATAGCCAGAGCTCTCTATGCTAATTCTGAAAATGACGTAAAACGTCAATATGAAAAAAAAGAGTTTGTGATATAAATTTTAAATATTTAAAAACTTACTCCAACGGTGCATTATTTGGGTTCATAAAAATGCAAAAGTCAAAACTATTCACTAAATTTCATCTAAAAAGAAAAAGTTCGCTAAATAGGTCATTTTGTTTATTGGTACAACATACGTGTGCAGGCTTGTGTGCTCAATTCTGCCTTATAATCATTTTTCCAGTAGAAGGACATCACAAAGAATACATCCAAAGTTACGGCGGGATTCGAACCCGTTACCTCCGCGCTTAACGGAGTGTTTGGCGAGCGATACTGCTCGGCCAGGGAGGCCCTGGGTATTTTGCCAAAGCCTAGGTAATATTTTACGGAGAGATGACAGAATTTAAAAATATAAATTTGTCTTAAGTGCACTTCAACTTTTACTTCTTTATTTTCCGTGGCGAAAGGGCTTTGAAGAACACTAGCAAATATGGCGATATAAACGACGTTTGGGGAAAAAGAAGCTGTTTATGTTTATTTACTGTCAGAATTTGAAGAAGAGCCTCAGAGCTCAAATAAATCTTATTAGGCTAAATTAAGCCTTACCTATTGAAACGCAGTGCTATAAGCGAAAGCAGAGAGCACGCCGCACTTTACTATACTCAATACTAAACGACGTTTGGTAATTGATGTTTAACTTAATTGACACTATCATCAGTCTTCAATCAAGTATCCTCATGATTTGATTTTTTAAAATATAAATATGATTGTGTCTATAAGGGCTGGAAATTGAAGTGAAAAAAAAGGAAGTATTTTAATTACATAAGCGAGAAGACTGTTATGAAATAATAATGTATTATTAAAATGATCAACTTCGTCCGTAAGATTAAAATGCTAATATTCGGAATAAAAACTGGAATTTCGATGTTCGGAAAAAATCCCCTGGTTGTTAAGGTAAGTAAATTGACACAGTTGTTATCAAGTTAAAGAAAATTTAATTGATTTTTCCATTGATTCTTCTATGTCGAATTATGAAATGAATGTAATTTTTTAGCGTGTCGCCCCACCTCTCGCTTTCAACATTCACCTCCTTAATATAATGTTTAAATTAATTTAATGCTAACCGTAAGAGGTTTTCCTCTCCCTGTAATGCAAGTGCGAGTTAGTTCCATCAAAATATCCTCCACGCGTGGCGGATTCAGCCNGGGGGGGGGGGGGGTCATGACCCCCCTCAAAATTGAAAAAAATAAAGTAAAAATAATAATTTTTTCAATAGTTTACAAAAGAAATAAAATATTTTAGGAATTATTTAAGGGGGCATATGCACCTAGGTAGGTCGGAAAAATTGATTTTTTTTTCTTCATCTAATTATGTAAACATCTAATTATGTAAAAACGCATTACATTTATTATTTGAAGATTTTGAATACTTGAATTATTTATGTATTGTTCTATTGTTCATTATGAAAAAAATAAATGAGAAGAAAATAGCATTAAAAAACTCCAGTTTTTTTTTTCTCAAAAAAATGTTTAAAAAAATTTTTTTTGTAAAAAAAGTTATTGTTGGGGGTAGAGGGGAAATCTGAGTCTCTGACCCCCCTAGGAAANTGGATCAGTCTGCGTAGGGACCGAGGGTGTGCGGTATTGGTCCTCGTTAAACTGTGCTACCGTAAAGTGCTCGACTTCGCGCGCAGTTCGTCGAGCTACTAAAGCGGGGGTGTCATCCCCTCCGCAGAGGATCAAAATTGTGATGACATGTCTTCGGATCATTCTCCGGGATGTTTCCCAGACCGTCGCCAATAGCCAATTGTACAGCTCTAGAGCGACGTAAATTAACAACAACAACTATAATAACAACAACCATAATTGACACTATCATCAGTCTTCAATCAAGTATCGTCATGATTTGATTCTTTTAAAATATAAATACGATTGTGTCTATAAGGGCTGGAAATTGAAGTGAAAAAAAAAGGAAGTATTTTAATTACATAATCGAGAAGACTGTTGAATTAGATATATGAAGAAGAAGAAATTTGTGAAATAATAATGTATTATTAAAATGATCAACTTCGTTAGTAAGATTAAAATGCCAATATTCGGAATAAAAACAGGAATTTTGACGTTCGGAAAAACATCCCCTGGTTGTTAAGGTAAGTAAATTGACACAGTTGTTTTCAAGTTAAAGAAAATTTAATTGATTTTTCTATTGATTCTTCTATGTTGAATTATGAAATGAATGTAATTTTTTAAGCGTGTCGCCCCAACTCTCGCTTTCAACATTCACCTCCTTAAATTAAATGTTTAAATTAATTTCATGCTAACTGTAAGAGGTTTTCCTCTCCCTGTAATGCAAGTGCGAGTTAGTTCCATCAAAATATCCTCCACGCAGTGGCGGATCCTGCCGGGGGGGGGGGGTCATTACCCCCCTCGAAATTGAAAAATATAAAGTAAAAATAATAACTTTTTCAATAGTTTACAAAAGAAATAAAATATTTTAGGAATTATTTAAGGGGGCATATGCACCTAGGTAGGTCAGAAAAATCGATTTTTTTTCCTCCATTTAATTATGTAAACATCTAATTATGTAAAAACGCATTACATTTATTATTTAAAGATGTTGAATACTTGAATTATTTATGTATTGTTCATTATGAAAAAACTAAATGAGAAGAAAATAGCATTAAAAAACTCCAGTTTTTTTTTCTCAAAAAAAAAATATTTAAAAAATTTTTTTTAGTAAAAAAAGTTATTGTGGGGGGTAGAGGGGAAATCTGAGTCTATGACCCCCCAGGAAAAATTTCTGGATAAGCCCCTGCTTCCACGAAGGCAAACTTTCTCCCAATACTTGATCCGGGAGTTCCCTTGTCTTCTGGATTGGGTTCAAAATTATAAGGCTATGGAGTTGAACATCAGTAGTCGTTAACCCAAAATTGGGTCAACTGTTCAACGATGGTTACAAAATAAAATAAGTACTAGTATCATAAAATTACATTATAATTTAAGAACATCTCTTTTGGTGTTAAATTTCAAAAACTATCAAAATAATAAAAAAACGTAATAACAGCAGAAAAAACTGTGAATAAATAAGTAAGAATAAACTGAAAAAATAAGAAAAATAAATAATACTGGTAAACGCCTTTAAATTATGGAATACAAAAATAGTTTACATGTAAACATTACCTTTATGACTTTCATGCCGATACCAAAAAAGAAAATAAATTAATGAGGGAAAATTGTGATTTTCCAAGCAAATAGAAATGACAACAATGCGATATCATCATTGGAATTTTATCTCAAACAACTCTGCTGCCTTTCTAGTTTTGCAATCCATAAGTCGAAGTATCAAAAGCCCATATTTTACGCTTTCAAAATTTTGTCTGAAAACGAACGTATTGTCTTGCAAATTCAGATCTGCCTTTATTTTATTCTGAGCTCCGTATTTTATCTTCATTTTTACGCCGAAAAAATGTTGTTACATTTAGCGCTGATTATTAATGTCACTAATGTCAGTTTGCACTGATTGTTAATGTCACTAATGTCAGTTTGCACTGATTGTGAATGTCACTAATATCAATTTGCGCTTATGGTATATAAGAGAAAAATAACGAGAACATTTCTTTTTTAAACTAAATCCTTATCTTTCGATGCAAGCTTGATGTAAGTGTAAGTAGGAAAATGTATTTGACAACATTCACCAAAGCGACTCCATGAATGCTGACATTTACCTTATTTCAGACATTTATGGTAAAATATATCATGAACATTCATTTCAAAATAATGCTCTCTTTGCTTTATATCAGTGGTTCTAAGAACCCGATTCATTTTAAATTTACCGATATACCAAAGTTTAACTCTGTAGCTTTGTAATTTCGTGCCCAACTCAAAAGTCAATGAACCTACTGGAAGTCGTGGTGGCTCAGGGGATAGCGCGCTCACCTTTCAATGTGGTGACCGAGATTCCAACCCATGCGATTGCTTAACAATACGACATCTGACCACAGCCTCTTCATTATCCAAAATATCCTCATTAGCAGACGGATCACGGGTTAGAATCTCTTTGACGTCGAGCCAACCATGAGAGTTTTTTGTAGTCTTCTTCTCCATGTAACGCAAAGTCTGGTTAGTTCCAGCAAAAAGTCCTCCTCGATAGCTAATTTGTCCCAATGCTTGATCCAGGAGTCTTCTGCGTTGGTTCAAAATTACAAGTTAAACATAGGTTCAAACCAAAAATTAGTTAGCTTTCAAACCGCGGTTATAAAATGAAAAGGAAACTATTGGATTAAATATTAAGACTAAATATTCTTCGTTTAGGATTATTTATCCCACAATTGCGTTAAAAGGAGAGGAAAAGCACGAAATCTTTATACAGTTAGTCTAATATCAAATTATAACATAATCAGCAAATCCACGGAGAAATTTTTTGTCCGCTTTGTGGTGGCGCGCTGTAAGCTACTCCTTTTTTAAAAAAAATTTTTTTTTTTTTTAATAACTGTCGTTGAACAGCATACCCAATTTTTGGGTTTACGACTACTAGCGTGTTCAACTCTTGTAGCCATTTGTAATTTTGAACCCAATCCAGAAGACGAGGGGACTCCTGGATAAAGCATTGGGAGAAATTTGCCTTCGTGGGGGAATTTTCGATATAAACAGCCCGCATTTGCGTTACATGGAGAGGAAGACTACGAGAACTTCCCACGGTTAGCCTGAAGGCAAGGGGACTCTAACCCATGATCCGTCTACCACTGAGGATATTTCACGTCAACATTGTGGTCGGTGCAAGCCGGATGCGGAATTCGTATTGACCAGTCATCGCCGGGATCGAACCCCGGGTGACCTCATTGGAAGGGGAATGCTCTATCCCCTGAGCAATCGCGGCTCGACTCCTTCTCTTACATTTTGCCTTCCCCTTCTAATTTCTTAAAATGTGAATTTGTTTTGAATTTTTCCTTCGACAAAACAGATTTCAGTTAGTATAAAATATTCTTTATTTACATATTGATTATAAAATATTCTGGTAGTCCCTGATGTGCTGATGAAGGGTTACATTAATATTCAAACAAATGACTACAGCGTTGTGCACGGTATCACTTTACCAATAGGACTGATAACGGACACTTTGCAATATATTTCCTTTCGATGAATCCAACTGTAACTGTTATCAAAAACAAGAACATCTGAAAAATTGAGGGGAAAAAATCTGTAAGCAATAATAATAATAAATAAACAAGAACTGTTACTGCAGGTAAGGTCAGTAACAAGCAAAAGCCATTGAGAACTAAATTGAAAACAATTAAATCACTTCGTATAGTGGCCTACAGTGCATGCCCTAGGATGTCTTCGATTAGATACCTAGGTGTTACCCCTGCTGCAGAATTTTTTCGGACTTTCTGCGACACTCTAGTACTAATAATATCTTTCTGCAAGATATTTTTAATAATGACAAATATACATGTTACTCATTTAAAGTGTCAACTTAAAAAAAAGAAAACTTTTTGGATAAAATATTTTTTTTTATTTGAATATTATGAGCAATATTCTCACATTTTGCTGGGGGAAAAACACACTAATTATTTCTTTCTTCGCATTTCGTAAATCATCATCACATTAAGAAAAATAATAAATTGTGAAATTCGTAGCAGTAACTACCAAAAAAATGATGGACGGCGAAATCACGTGAATCAGACTCTTTAAAAAGAGGGTACGAAGTTCGTGTTTTCATTTCGAGATTCAGTTGTTGTAATAAATTAGATTGTATTGAAAATATAGGATTTTTTAAAACTATGTGGAAATTGAAAGTAAAAAATAAAAAAAAATTAAAAAATAGAATTAAAATTTCTGTCGAAGAGAAAACCAAATTTTCTACTTCTTTATTCTTTATTTTTCATTACTCTCAAATGAGAATAGAAAAGTCACAAGCATTTTTTTCCCACTCAGATGCGCAAGAAAGGCATCTTTTGAAATAATTCTAATGAAAAGATAAAATTTTTCAAAAATTTCTGCAAGAAGGAAAACCAAAATTAAAAGGTTATTGTCCACTGAAGGGGGCAAAATCTCCCCTAAGGGATGAAAAAGAAAAAAAGAAAAAACATTGCAAAGATATGTTTTTTATAAAGATCTAAATCATTTATATTTTAAATTAATTTTTTACGTAACTGAAAGTGGAAATCATTCTTCGGTAAAAAATTAGCCATCGATTGGAGGCCTCCTCTGAATTGATATCTCAGAGGAGTAAGATTAATACCTGGGGGCGATAGCTCCCTTGGCGCGCAATCGATACGAAGCAAGGTTTTAAATAACATTAATTCTTCTCTTTGGACAGTGTTCTTTAATGTAAATAGCCTCATATTATACACTATCTTGCCAAAAGTATCCGGACACCCTGTTGTTATGGTGATGGGAACATAATGGTGTGGGGGTGTTCCTCGTCGTTTGGGCTAGGTCCGTTAGCTCCTGTGGTTGGAAACAAGAACTCTGAGATGTGTGTGGACATTCTGGACAATGCTGCACTCTATGGCAATATTTCGGCTTATTTCTCCTCCAGCAGGATAACTGCTCCATTCACACATCGAGGCTTGCACAGAAGCTGTTTGACGAAATGGGTATTCAAAAACTGGACAGGCCTTCTCAGAGCCTCGAATACATAGGACACCTTTGGGACGAATTAGATTACATAGCCAGGCCAAATCAACCCTCCTCATTGCAAGCAAGCTGTGATGGAAGTCCTATGAAAAACTGTTGGAAAGTCTTCCCAGTCGTGTGCAGGCTGTCATCGATGCAAAAGGGAGACCAACATCATATTAATATGTGCCTCAGGACACTCTAAGTCCGTACCACTAGGTGTCCGGATGCTTTTGGCCTGATAGTGTATGAAAGAAAGATATACTCACAAATTCCGGATTTATGGCACTTGAACATGCCGGCTTCTGATACGAGATGGGCGTCGACTCTTTGTTTGGGAACAAGCTCCTCCGGTTTCGCCGCTTCAGATCTGTCATTCTTGTAGATGAGTCCGAAACCAATGTCTCTGGTCTCTGTCTCAAATTCCCACTCTATCACCGATTCCGGCTGATCCACGTACACCTGTAATTGCACTTTGGATAAACGAGATACCACCAACTTCTTTGCATCTGGCTGTGAACTGATGCTGGTCTTGCTCTTAATCAAATAAAGTTCTTCCGGTACAGGTTTTGCAAGCTTTATCTAACCATAAAAAAAGTTCATTATACACATTTCATTCATCCATATTTATTTATCCTATCTAAATAATATATTACGTTATAGTTTATCATAATATCAATCTATATATATATATATGTATGTAACATAAAAAGCTTCTATTAATCTTTTTATGTTAGTTTCTTCGCTATAAAACAACTCCTACTTTTATTACTAATTAATGATTCAAATCGAATTGCTTTTTCACACTTTTAATAGCTACATCCTGTTTCTAATTCTATTTTCGGCCCAACCATGCACAAATTTACGTAGATACTTTTTTTCCCTTGTGTATTTGGTATAGTGCGGCTTTCAGGAGAACTCCTCCAGACACCCGTCTCGCGTCGTTGCGGGTACTATGGTTACGAGGAAAGGTCACTTCGAATAGGGGTGTTGGGTGAATAATTTTGTCTCAATCTTAGCGTATGTCGTCGTGAGTATACCATTCGACACCTTCTTTCTTCCATTTAAACCCCATTAGAAATGTGCTCTCGTTTATTACCATAGCAGCAGACAGCCTCAGAATTTCAGTCTAGAGGAGTTCTCCTCAAAGTCGCACTGTACCTCCCCAGCACTTTGCAGTTTTAATAAAGATACTGCGGGAAAAGGTCTGTCGAAAGGGTTAAAGTGGATTATGTAAGATTTTGCCAACATTGGCCTCCAGTAACAACATACAGTTAATCTTTATTATGATGGAACAAACAGATAAAATTGTTTTTTGCTTAATAAAATAACATTGAAACGAAATGAATGGCTTGAAGAATAGACTCAATTAATAATTACTATTTACACTTATTTATGATATCATTACTATTACATTACTATTACATTACTATTTACATTTCCTAGAATGGCCCATCCCGTGACGCATTTTTTACATCTCGCCAAGCTAGATTTTGAAATCTCGCCAAACTAGGTCTCCGGAAGTTATTTCGGGGAGATTATTTTGAACGTCCGATCACACCACTAAAATTCTTAAACCGTGATTGGTTATATGATATGTATACCTACGCGAAAGTTGGATTATGTTAGAAAAGGAGGTAAGGGTTTATTTTTTTCGCCATTTATGCTTTGATCTCTTGCAGTTGGAATCATCGTTATGATTTCATTTTTTAATCGTTATTTCATTTATTACCGTTATTATTTCATTTTTTTAATTTTTTTTGTGTGGTACCGGTTGAAAATGGCGAAAGAATGGACGAGTTAATTTTTAACTTTTGGAGGTGCAGAAGGTAAGAGAGCAATGATTGAATGGTGTATGAATATATTAAAAATATTCTATTAAAAAATTCTATTAAAATTTATTATATTATACTATTAGTTATTATTTAAAAAATTTAATTCGATTAAAAATATTTTAATAAAGTTGTAAAAATTTAAATTGTCTTTTTTTATTTTTAATAATCAATCGCCAAGATGTGAGCTATTCTAGAATTTTACCTTTACTTACAATTTATACAAGATTCGTTTAGGTTGAATGCGGTATCTAATATTTACGATGCAATAGCGCAAAATAAAGTAAAAGAACAGCAAGAAATGCTATTAAAAATATGTAAGAATTAAAGTTGAAGGAAAAACAAACTTGAAGTTCATAAAAGAATTTAGTAATGCAGAGTATGCGTTTGACGTCACGTCACTGCAACATAAAGCCAAGGGGAGGATATTAACATACAGCTCTATGGATCAGTTTAGTGCAGCTAAACAAAGTACTTACAGATTTAGAGCACATGGGATCTCCATCGGGATCTGTTCTTGTACCGCCAAGATATACCGGTAAGACATCGTCATCGATGGACTTTAACAGATCATTCTTCCATCCATCTAGTAAAAAGAAATTATTACACATTTTATTTTCTGGATAGAAACTACTCTGATTCTGAAAGTGACTTTATATCAATTTGGGCATCCTAAACGACAAGTTCTAAAAATGATTTTATGTAACTTTGGGCATCCTATATGACATGCTCTGAAATTAACTTTATTTCACTTCGGGCATCCTAAATGACATCTTCTGAAAATAACTTTATTTCACTTTGGGCATCCTAAACGACATGTACTGAAAATGACTTTATTTCACTTTGGGCATCCCAAATGACATCTTCTGAAAATAACTTTATTTCACTTTGGGCATCCTAAACGACATGTACTGAAAATGACTTTACATCACTTTGAGCATCCTATATGACATGCTCTGAAATTAACTTTAAATAATATGAGTTAGCGGAGTGAGCGAATGAAATCATTTTTGCAAAAAATTGAAAATTTCAGAAAGTCTTTTTTTTTAAATTTTAGTAAAACAAATTTAACTGGAACTAGTTCCACAGTGAACTGAACATAAGGACACGGTTCCCAGTAGAACACCGAAGCAAAGCATTACTGGCTGCTGCTAGTGAGCGGATGGGTGGCAACTCTGATCAGCTCCCATCTTCCCAATAGGTATAATTTGTTTAATTCATTCATTCATTCCTTTCACGTAATAAATAACGAGTAAAATTTATTTAAGTGATTCATTCATTCCTTTCACGTAATAAATAACGAGTAAAATTTGTTTAATTCATTCATTCATTCCCTACACGTAATAAATAACGAGTAAAATTTGTTTAATTCATTCATTCATTCCTTTCACGTAATAAATAACGAGTAAAAAAATTGGGGTTTCTTAACACCTCACCACATTTTTTTTTCCTCAAATAATTTTTCTGACACTGGACAAATCACCAGAATACTAATATTTCATATTTTATAACCAGTGTTGAACTATATCGAGTCATTTTTGAGTTTACGACTATCAATGTTCTACTCTCAACTGGTAAATCCATTAAATCTAAGATTTTAAATATAATCCCAACAAAATTTAATCCGAAATCTTGCCTAATATTTGAAAGGACCCAATTGCATGCTTATGGCGTTAGAAGCACTTTTAAACGCACAGACTTTCATAGAATTCTTTTTTTTTAAACCCAAATGATAGTTTCGAATAAAAAACCTTATAAATTCTTACCTTTTCCATAGATGAAGACTTTTTGCACCGTTGCACCAGACAGCAAAGGTTTAATAACTGAATAGAGTAAATTAAAATAAATCGAAGCTGAAAAGAAATAACCAACTTTAATATCATATTGTTTATAATATCACTAAGATTTTAATGTACATGGTGCAAAATAAGAATGACATCACCTTAACTAACTTTTTATCTAATGATCCGATTTTCACGTGCTAAAGCTGAAATGTCCGACAGTCTAACCTTTCTTTTCCTTTTTTTATTTTCTTAGTTGTCCGACATAACGAACATAAACTGCGCAGTGGATGATAAATAAGAAAGATGTCATTAAGTTTGGACAGTTAAAAGATCAAATTTCTCGTTTATGGTAACCCGTGCTGAGGCCTTCTCTTTCCTGGAAAGTTTTGGTTCATCTCATTGGAAGAATCTATCCCCTGAGCTACCACAGTTCCCAGTTTACCATTTTAAAGATTTCGGTCACTCGCCAGCGGGGATGGTGATTTGTGTCCCTGTGACTTTAGGCTGACAGGCACAATCTTATTTGGCGATGGTGTCCCGGGACTTTCGACATCGTTCAAGATAAATCTCGTCTGACTCCGTAAATATAAATATTGGTGCTATCGCTTTAGAACTTGAAGTTTCCAATACGGTCCTTTTGTTGCCAAAATGGTCGCCAAGTCGAGAAATTTATTCGGCGTTACTTTCTCTTTAAATTATGTTAAATTGCGTGAATTTCTTACAAATTTTCTAATTTAACTGCTTATTTGGGGTCCGTCTGAAATCTTCAGCCTTACAACAAATGAATATTTACAAAACTGCACAAATTTGTAACAGTACTTCTTCATTTTTGAGTCCCGCAGTGGATTGAACGTAAAGACACGAGTCCTAGTAGAACGCCGAAGTCAAGCATCACTGGCTGCGGTCAGTAAGCGAGTGGGTGACCACTCTGATTAGCCTCTGTAGGGATCGAGGGTGCGCGATATAAGCCCTCGTTAAGCTGTTCTACCGTGAAGTGCTCGACTTCGCGCTCAGGTTATCGGGCTACCAAAGTAGGGTAGTCATCCCCTCTGCAGAGGATCAAAATTGCAATGGTATGTCTTCGGATTATACTCAGGGATGTTTCCCAGACCATCGGCAATAGCCCATTGTGCAGCTTTAGTGCGACTTACCTATCTTCCTTTTTGAATTTAGTAATTTTATGCTAATGCATATCCTTTTTATAACTGATTCATTACATTATCATTAGAAGAAATCATTGTTTTGAATTTTCTTTCCTCACAAGCACTTTAATTTGTATTATTTCATAAAAACAACGGAAATTTGAAGTAGATAATGGACTATTAATTCGATGATAATCTAATTACCGATATCGAAAATCGTAACTAGTTAAAAAAAATAGTCTTAACTTTTGGAATCCCGATGCGGAGCCGCTGGTTGCTGGATAAGTGCACTGCAAAAAATACCCGAAAAAGTGCTACATCTATCTATCCTATTTAAGAAAATTGCTATCGGGCAGTGTTATTACTTTAAACGCTTAAGTAATGTGTTAAATTAGCATAAAAAGGAAATTTACTGTTTATAATAATTGCAGCTTTCAATCTCTCAGGATAGTTTGCTTCATAAATTTGAAATACATTCAGCAAGAACTCGAGAGCTGGAAAAAAAAATTACAAACTTCTATACAAATTCAAATTTTTACATATAAATCCTATTATTTATAAATATTTTAATTTATACTTTAAAACAAACCAACATGTATTGAAAAAATTCCTATTTTAATTTGTAAAACTCACTACCCATAAATGTAGAACTAATTATAGGCATGGATTTAGTAAAAAAGGTATGTATCCACACTGGTTTTTCAATTAAATTCCATTTTCCGTCAGTAATGCATTATCGCAATAGTGTTTTATTGTAAACTATGTTTATTTCTACAATCGTTTTTACTTAATTAGTTTTGTTTAAGGTTGATAAAAAAATTAAAAGAGCTTTGAGTGAAGTGATGCTACTGCAAGACACGGAATCTGTCTTGGATAAACATAAGGAAAAATCTTAAGTGTTTATAAATTAGCGAATTTTAATCCAAATCAAGTTTAGAGCACTCAATTTATTTTATAACTGTAGTACTAAATTCTATTTTATTTTCTAACTATCGTTAAACAGCCGACCCTTTTTTGGGTTTACAGCTATCAATGCTCAACTCAGTAGCCTTGCAATTTTGAACAGAATCCAAGTGACAAAAGAACTCCTAGATCAAGCATCGGGACAAATTAGTTTTCGTGAAGGACTTTTTGTTAGAATTTCGCAAATGCTTTACATAGAGAAAAAAGCCACAAAACCTCCCATAGTTAGTCCGACGGCAAGGGGATTCTAACCCATGAGCCGTTTATCAGTAAGGATATTTTTCACCAGCACTGTGGCCGGTGCGAGTCAGAAGCTAAATTCTAATCGTCCATCTATCACTGGGAATTTGAACTTGGCGCACCTCATTGGGAGGCAAGCGCTCTATCTCTGGATGTACTTCGACTCATGTATAAAATGCGTACATACAGTCCATGGCCTAATGAGTTTCTATGAGATTAGACGCACTATGAGATTCTATGTAAAATCTTAATTATCAGGTGATAATTAAGATATACAGCTATATTGTTTTGACGTGTAACCGGTTTGTACTTGTTAACTTTCTTGTATAAATTGGTGAAATTCGACGATATGTAAAATAAATTCGACAATTGGATAAATTAAACTATATATTATATANATCCTACACACTCCTTAAGTAAATATTTAATTTTATTTAAAACATAATTATTTTAATTTTTATGAAAAAATTAAATAACTTAAAAATTAAATTAAATAAGACTAATAAAATGTACGTACTCTAAGGGGGGGAGTAAGACCTTATGTACGGTAATGTACGAAGGGGGGGGGGAGGGGCTTGAAATTTCTCCATTTTTGTGTACGTACTTTTTGAACGGCCCCCTATGAGATTCTATGTAAAATCTTAATTATCAGGTGATACTATACAGCTTTATTGTTTTTACGTGTAACCGGTTTGTACTTGTTAACTTGCTTGTATAAATTGGTGAAATTAGACGATATGTAAAATAAATTCGACAATTGGATAAATTAAACTATATATTATATAAATATAGAATATTTCTTATATCAGGTATTATATTAGTATATTATAATAGACCAGATTATTCGACGCACTGTAGTGTCTTAATAATTACAGGATTTGTACGCGTTTATATGCAATACTTTTATATTTAAACGTAAATGTAATGAGTTTTTATAAAGGATATTTTTATATACTTGTATATATATACTTACCGTATATTCCGGCGCATAACGCTCCCCGGCGTATAACGCGCACCCGTAATTTCTAATAACTTTTTTTAAATTTTAAGATATACTCTTCGTATAACGCGCATGAAAATTTGGATTGTACATGTGCAATATCTCGTCTAGTATCTATAGAAAACCAGAAAGTCTTTTAGTGTGGGACATGTTTAGGTC